GCCGAGGAAAGGTGGGCGCGCCGTCCGCGGGCCGCATTGCGGCGGCGCGCGGGCGGGGCCAGGGGGGACGCGCTTAAGGTGAGGGGGACCGCTGCGACATGGGGCAGCAAGAAAGGGGGCTCAAACGCAGCTCACAGGGCGGCGCGGGGTGTCGCGCTCAGCGGAGGTGGGGAATAGCGCAGCACCGCAAACTGCGTGCGCCCGCGGGGCCCAGCCCGGAAACCAGGCGCGCCCCACACGCAGACACAGGCAGACAATCAAACACGCGCATGCAAGCAAGCAAGCCGGGGCAATCAACGCCACCGGGAAGCCAACCGCGGCCGTCCGCAGACTGCAGCCGCGCTCTCCGCATGCGCCGCCGCCGCGCCGCCCGCCGCCATGATGCCACGCCACGCCGCCGCCTCGCCGCCGCACGCCGCAGCTCCACTCCCCGCCTCCAGCCGTCCTCCAGCCGAGCCGCCGTTGACCAGCCTGCCGCGGGGCGCCGCGCGCGCGGCAGCGCCCCGCGGGTTACCCAGGCCGCCGGCGGCAGCGCAGCCGCTGGCAGCGGCTCCGCCCCGTCGCGACGGGGCCTGCAGGTCGAAGCGTCCACCTTTCCCGGCGCTGCGGCGCCCTGCACCGCAGCCCGTGGGCCACAGCCCCGCGGGCGCGGACCCTCCAACGGGGGGCCCGCGCGGGCAGGAGAGGGCGTCGCGGGCCGCCGCCGATGATGATGATTTGTTACTCCGCCTGCGGCATCGCAGGATCCTGCAGCCACCGTGTTCCAACCAGGGTCAAGGAAAACGAGCAGTCAACCGCCGCATGGCAGGCGGTCAAACGCCACCGGCGCCTGCGAGGCGCGGATGGCAACACCACAACAAAACCCACGCGCAATGATAGCGCACTAATCCCCGCGTCGCACGGCCCCTGCAAGGGGCCGGTGCGGACGGCGGGCGCCGAGTTTGGCCGCTCGGCAGCGGGCGCGCGCCGTGCGGGGCGCGCGCCACGCCCCCCGGCCGGCATGTGCTTGCCGGGGCTGTAGGCGGCTCGCGAAAAGGTGTAGGCGGCGGCGGCGGCGTGTCGCCGCCGCCGATTTTATTTTTTTTTGATTTGATTTTTTTTTTGATTTTTTTTTGCCCTGTCGGGGGTCAGCAGGCCAGCCCGCGGGGTCTTGGGCAACAGCAAGACGCAAACGCCCTTGTAGCTCAGTTGGTTAGAGCGCGGCTTTAGTAAGGCCGAGGTCCCTGGTTCGAATCCGGGTAGGGGCACGCTCTTTTTGCCTTTGGGGGGCCCTTCGTGCCCCAAAAACACAAAAATAAGGCCTCCAAAACGCATGAGGAACGTGGGGGGCCCTGCGGGCCCCCCCTCCACAAGGGGTTTGCCCTCCTTTGCTGTTGCTGTTTGCCCTTTCGGGCCCCGCAAACACAAAAAGAAGGGGCCCTTCGGGGCCCCCCCAAACGCCAAAGTACATCGGGCGGCCCTGCGGGCCCTCGCCCACAGGGGGCCTGTCCTGCAAAGGTCACAGCCGAAATGGGGGCCCTGCGGGCCATCGGGCCCCATCCAGAGTGCCCCAGCCAGTCAGCCACCAACCCCCCATGTCATGCCAGCAAGCGACGCTGGGCCAGCTGTGTCGCACCGCATTAACTGCCCCGCCCCCGAGGTGAACAACCCGGCTGGCAGAAGGGCCCTGAGGGCTACCGCGCTGCGTTGGCAGCGCCTGTAAGCCAGGGACTTCATGCTGGAAGCCGGGGGGGGGAGCACGGGGACTGGGCAGGGGCATGCGGGTTACTACGGCGGCTGGGCAGCGGCGGCGGAGATGCTGGGACGACGGCGGCAGCAGCGCGGCTGCCGGCGGCAGACACGGCCCGGGCAAAGCCGGGCCCAGCAGGTCAACCCCTGCGGGGCGGCCTGTGGGCCGGCCCCGGCACAAAGCATTGTGTGTCAATTACTCTTGTGGTTAACGCTGGCAAAGGCAGCGCAAGGAGAGCGCTTAGCGCTGCTGGTCACTTATCCACAGAGACACCCCAGCGCACGACACCCAGGCTGGTCGCACTCCCTCAAATGCGTGTCGGCGGTGCTTCTTCGCGCCCCTGTGGAACCCCCTCCTCGTCACGACGCGCCTGCCCGCCAGCATCGACGAGCCGCCGCCGCCGCGCGGGGCGCAGCTGGAGCCAGGTCAGCGCGCCGACGACGCCGCCTTCCTGTGGCGGCGCGAGCAGCTCATGCGCGGCCGCGGCGACAGCGACGCGGCCATCGCGGCGCAGCTCGCCGCGCTGCGGCAAACGCTGGACCGCAAAAACGCAGCCGCCGCACGGCCACGCCGACCGTGGGGAACGGCGCGGACCGCGGTGCCTCTGGCCGACACTTTTGGCACGCTTGCCGAATTTGGCCGGCTACGCACCATTGGCGACCTGCTGGCAGTGCTGGACACGCTCGACAGCATGGCCGCGGCCCCGGCAACGGCGGACCGCCAGCACAGGTACCTGTCAGAGGTGCTGCCCCGCATCGTGCCGCCCATCTGCTCCGGCGCCGCTTTCTTCACCGATGGGGCATTCGCGCACAGCTATCTGATGTGGCTGGAGCGCGCCCTGCCGCCGGACTGGCTGGCGGAGGCCAAGGCAGCCGCGCGCCGCGTCGCCGCCGGCCAGCTGGCGGCGACGGCGCCCGAGGCGCGCCTGCCGGATTTTGAGGGACTGGCCAGAGGCGTGCTCGAGCTAGCCGGCTGGGGGAAGCGGGGCGCGAAGCAGCGCGTCGCGCTGGACGGCCTCACTGTCAAGGACGCCACGCGGCTGCAGCTCTGGCCCCTGCACCAGGAGCGGGCACGGCGCCTGCAGACTTTTGCGGCCGAGGCGCTGGGGGAGGCGGACCCCGCGGCGGCGGCGCCGCCGCCGCCTGGCGCGGACGGCCCGCAGGCGCCGCCCGCCCTGGCCGCGCCACCGCCGCCGGCGCTGCCGGAGCCCAGGCGGACGCGGGCGCCCGGCGGGGTGCTGGCGCTGCCGGCGCCGGCGCCGCCGCCGCCGCCACCGCAGCAGCAGCAGCAGCAGCAGCAGCCGCAGCAGGGCAGGGACCCCGGGGCAAGGCGCGTAGCAGCTGCGCAGGCGGCGCTGCAGCGGACGACCCTCAAAGGGCTGTGGCAGCTCGACATCGCCAACCGCCGCAAGGTCAAGTTTTGGCTGCTGGCTCTAGACGGGATCCCCACGCCGGCGCGCCTGCACAAGGACAGCCCCTGCCCGTGCGGCAGCGGCGGCCAGCGGCCGGGCCGCGGGCACGCCTTCTGGGGCTGCATCGTGGCGGAGGCAGTCCAGCGGCTGATTCAGCGGCAGCTGCCCGCGGCGGCGGGCGCCCTGCAGCGCGAACACATCTGGCTCTGCAAGCCGCCGCCCGGCATGCATGAGCAGGTCTGGAAGGTGGTGTGCCTGGCCGCCATTGACGCTATGGACTGTGGCCGGCGCACGCTCACGCGCCACGTGCTGCGCGAGCGCGAGCGCGAGCAGGAGCGTCAGCGCGAGCGCGACATGGGCGACGCGGATGGCGGCGACGAGGCGGCAGCCGCCGGGGCCAGCGGCGGCGACGCAGGCGGCCCGGGCGATGGCGAGCAGCCTGACCCCCCGCCTCGACCGCCGCCCCCTGAGCCCCCGCCGCCCCCGAGGCCGCCGCCGCAGCGAGGCCGGCAGCGGCCGCCGCGGCGACCGCCGGAGCCCGCCGACGCGGGTGCCGCCGCCGCCGCAGGCGGCGCCGGCGCCGCCGCTACGGGCAGCGCGGCGCCGGACGGTACGGCGGGGCTGGCCCCGTTCGATATCGACGCGCTGGCCAGAGCCATGACAGATGCGGAGGCCGCCGCGAGAGCCGGCGGGGCAGATGTCAGTGCGGCGATACTGGCGGCGGCGCTCAGCTTTGCCCCTTATGCGGCGGGGACGGCAGGCGGGCGCGGCGCGGCGGGGGGGGCTCCAACAGGTGGGTCGCGGGGTGAGCGGGCTGCGGCGGGGCCTGGGGGTCTGGCGGCAGGGCTGCGCGGTGGCCGGCCCGACTGGCGGGTGAGGCAACGGCGGGAGGGTGACGCCGCGCAGCGGCCCGGCGCCGACGGCCGCGCGGCGGACGATGCCGGCGCGGCCGGCGGCGCCGCCGGGCCCCCCGCCAGGGGTGGCGGCCCGGCAGCTGGGGCCGCGCGCGGCGGCGGCGAGGACGACAGCGGCGCTGGCGCCCGTTCCCCGCCCCCCGCGCCGCGGTACCGGACGCGCAGCGCGTCCAGGCGCGGGGCCGGCGGCGAGGACGCGGGCGCCGCCCGCGACACGGCCGACGCTGGGCCCAGCCGCCCAGCCGCGCAGCGCAGGCGCCGCAGGCCAGCGGCGGGCGCAGCGCCGGCGGCGGC